AAGAACAGTCCATCTGTCAGAAATGGCCAAATCTCGGCAATAGGATGGGTGGATAAGGATATCCCTTCCCACAATTAGAATGGTGACCCATCACAACCCGAGTCCTCTGTCTCGGGAGCGTCGTTTATCCAATGTGGATAAAGTATGAGCGCCTTCTTTTTATCATATCTCATATGTTTAAAGTCTAAAGTAAACGATATTTTAGGGATATAATAATTATATGATTGTTAAGATATTCAACCATTATTCTAATTGTAACTTGACGATGTTTCATAACAAATTGCTCAACTAAAGGCACATCTTTTCCCCGGTTTGCTTTCGGTGGGCAACAGAACAAATATCATTTTTAACCATCTCCTTTCTTTACTTAAACAATCAATCCAACTGATGATTGAACTTCTGGTAAGTCTTTTGTCTTCATTAACCTTGTACAAATTATCATATTCTACTGCAAAGGAATTTCCAAGATATACGTTAAACTTTACAGCCGTTCGTTGCTCGAGTACGACTGAGTCAACCATTTTTTGTCACAAGTGACCTACATATTGACGTCATTTTCACATTGTGACGTCACAAACACGGAGCAAAACATTATTTAACATCTGTTATTTATAGAACATGTGTATGACTATATGTGTGTCAAATTTCATTCTGATCTGAATTATGGTTTTGTAAATATAGAAATAGTTCGCGAACTTTTTGATCACCCCTCGTAAATCATTAAATTCATAAATTTTATAAAAACTAAGTGTTTTATAACCCAGTTCAAAGTTCTTGTCTTACTGTATGTACAAAATACACTTCAAATGCAAACTTTTAATTACTGTAAAACTAAAATGTTGAAATATAGTTAACTATGTATTTTGTAATAGCTATTTAAGATGTGCTATCTCCTTAATGTTTATATATTATTGATCGGTTTTTATTCAAAACAGTTAAATATCATAATTGGTTATTGAAATTTCCAACTTTTTCACAGAATTATAAGAAGTACTGCCTGCCCGATACCTATTGGAAGTTGTTTTTTCGATACGATACAGTCTTAGATATCGATACGTATCGATATATCGATATGTTGATACAGCTCTAATTTGTACTCAGGAGATGGATTTATCACAAATGATACATATATGAAGTATGAAAGTTCTTGCACCGACCGTTCAAAGGTTATGGCCAAGGTTAAAGTTTGGTAAAATTTTGAAAAAGTGTGTCAAACTCCAAGGTCAAGGTCAAGAGGTAAAAAAATGTTGGTATTCTAGGAAATAATCAAGTGAGATATGAAAGACAGATCCAACCAATTGGCAAGGTTAAAGTTTTTGACAAACAAACATTTTCGAGCAGAGATTATTTATTTCCAAAATCTTCCAGCCCCCCCCCCCCTCCTAGAATCAAATCGTCGTCCACTAAACGCTCAAGAAATATTTAAGTGAAATTGTTTAACGTTGTGTAAAGATTATTACGATTACAAATCGGCAAGTCATTATAAAAAAACATGATATACTTGTAGGCAAAATTGGATAAAGAATTAACTTTAAAAGATTCTTGATATTTTTGCCATTTTCAACGTCAATGAAAAAAGTATACAGTGTAATATGTGTAACTCTGGCCTAAATATAAGAAATTCAATTTATTTAGCACATGATTAATTGTCTATAAAAATACACGGTTACCAATATCAATAAAATCACACTTAGTAAACAAAATGGTTGAATTTTGAGTCAAATTAATATACAACATGTAATTATTTAGTTTGAAAGTCTATTTCCTTCTATTATTTTTTCTTTGTTTATATACTGTAATTTTGTCAACTGTTCAGAAATAATTGTCACAGAAGAATTGTGCATATGCGGTGTTACATGTACTTGTGTAATATACTCTTTTTTCCTCCCCCAAAAAGTGCATCATTAATTTCAACTGCTTTTATAATACTGACACTGTCGATACAATGTGTAATTTAATTTAGGACTAAGCTCAGCCCATTAAGTTTATTAAACCCGCCTACTGGGACCACTGGGACTGCTTTCTGGGATTGCTTCCTAGTCCGCTGGGACTGCTGAGGCATTTGAGGGACTGATCTGGGACCGCTGTGGGACTGCTCTGGGACTGTTAAGTCGTCTCAGCGCAGTCCAGGAAAACAGTCTCTGGGACTGCTCTGGGACTGCTTTCTATCAGGTTGGGTATGGTTGGTTTACTGTATAACGTCAGAGAAATGGCACGTAACATTGGCGAACAAAATATGCATACTGAGAAAGTCAAACTTAGAATCGCTGAAACATCACAAATATTCATTTTCTAGTATAGAATTCTAAATGGACGAATTTAATTAAAAAAATAAGGTATCATTTTTAAACATCTATCGGGATATAAATACGGGTTAGTCACGAGATCAAACTCCATAAAGCCCGAAGGGCTTTATGGTAAATTAGATCTCGTACCAACCCGTATTTATAGCCCGATTGACGTTTTGAAATGATACCTTATTATTTATATTTACATCTGTGACTTATTCATATCTTATATTTGCATTATTATAATCTTGAAATGTTTTATTTTTCAAACCCAACGGCACGTGTTTTATCCAATGATTGCGCGTCGACCCTTTATGACGTCACTGAGAAATTACGTCGAACGTTTATGACGCGAGGAACCCATGTTTATACGGATATAGATACGCGTTGCTTTTTTTAAATAGTTTTATATAAAAGAAAACATTTACAAATGTAAATATTAGCATGTAAACTTTGTCATATCAAAAAAGTTTGAGACATAATAAAATTCATTTAAGTACGTATTCAATTTAAGCGCACGGGGACCAATTCCTTATTGAAGGAAATGCAAGCTATCTACTACGAGTTGTGAAAATATTTGAAAATATTTTTTTGACTCAATGGAAAACACACTCGAATAAAACTATTGAATATTCCAGAATTTCATTTTACATGACATTGGTCATATAAAGAAATAACTTAAAATCTATATCTTGAAGGTAAAATACATTTTGGATAAAAAGAAATTAAGAAAACATTATTTTTGACATATGAAATATTCTTGAAGTTCAAAAGAAAATGATTAAAATAATTGTTTAAAGAAAACTAATGGACAACGCATGACAAATTAAGAGTCGAAATGTGTAGCGAATTAAAAAAAAACAAAAAACAAAAATGAACGGCTTACAATACTTTCAGTACTTTGATTTTGATTTAAAAGGAAGACAACTCTGAGTGAAAATCATTGAAAATTATTTTATAAATTATAATTTATACCTAGAACATGTCTATTTTTGCAAGATAAATGTTAAAAGATTGTCAAATGTAGAAAACTAATCAAATAGGGTTCGCCGACCACCGTCTCTGGTTCTAAATTTTACTGTGTTGTTATGGGGTATCACTTTCTCACTTTTGTTTATCAACTTGGTTACGAGTTTGCGATGGTTATATACCTCTGAGTTCCTCGTTTTGGGCGGTAAAATGGTCACAGATATACCAAACCATGCTGTAATATAACTAAAGTGGCGTGTAGCTATAAAACGAGAAGATCCTTCGACGAAAAGGTTACATGGCGTCCCTGGATACAGCGAACACTGGCTAAAGATCACACTTTTGTAGTTTGCCACTACTATTTCCAAGAGTCTGACTAAGGGGTCAGAGTCAGGTGCAGTAAGATTGATTTATTGATAATCTGTACAATATAAAGGATTTCTTGATTTCATCAGTGTTCATTTGATTGCTATTGCATGTAATGATTTATTGAAGTTCATGTAGCTTAAATGTTTCCGTTTTGTTTTACATTTCAGAATTTAGAATTTCCAGTACTAAAGTAAGTACAGATTTAATCATGCATCATGCAACTCTCGTAAAAAACAAGTGAATTTATAGTTTTTATTTATCACTGAGCCATAACATGTAAAGAGTTATGACTGTATGAAAAGTGAATCACAAAATAAGAGTACATTATTAATGTAATTTGATTCGACAAAAAATAATAGTTGGTTAGATTGAAGTGCTTGTTGAAGTCCAGTAACCATATGTGACTTCAATTTCAGCATAGCAAGTGATGGAAGACAATTTGAAGAGACTCCACATTGTTAAAAGCAACTGTGGGAAAAATTAGCAAGTACCAAGCACCTCGTCTGTAATAGAGATGACATGTAGTAATCAAATCCAACATTTTTTTTTGAATTTTCTACAGGAGAGACTACCCCTGAATACAAAGAACCTATTTATAAATAGATCCAATATCCATGCAGACTTTGGACAACTTTTCTATTGACCACTTCCAGAAATTGAGAATTGTAAAATAGTTTAGGATTACACTGGTTTCAACAATTAAACATGTTCAGCTATTTGTCAATGCCTGTGGTATATGAACTGAATTTTATCCTTTATATATTTTGCAATGGCTAATTCTGGGAATGTCACTTAGTCGACAAAAGTGCAAAATAGAAATGCTGAAGAATTAAACTGATTACAGTCAATATGAGAGCTTAAATGTACAACTTCTTCTTTTGCATGTACCAATCCAATGTTTATGCTGTAAACACTCCTCACTGAAAAAGTACTAATTACAGTAAAACATGCTTATAGCGAATATGCTTATAATGAAGTGACGCTTAAAGCGAAGCGATTTTCATTCTCCTTGACTTCAAATGTATTGAATACTTAACAGATGTAACAAATTATGCTAATAATGAAGCAAGATTGTCGGTCCTGGAACTTCCTTTTTAGAATGTTTACTGTATGTAATTGGATCGTGATCTGGCATTTGAAGAAAAATAAACAGAAATCTTCAAAAAATGACACAATTTGAAAAACAGTTGAAAAAACATGTATTCCTAATACATTAGACCAAAATATAGTTATTGAATACATGACCTGCATATATTTTCCTAGTACATGTATAAGTAAACAGCATTCATGTGAATACTTCATTGTCTTTAAACATTTTCCCTGGAAAAATATGGCAGGTACATGTATTCTCTGTTAAAAATGAGCTACACAAAATCAATATGTACATCTTTATTTGATACAACTTTCTTAAAACATTTTTCATTAGTGTTTGGAGCTTCCTGAAATATATTCAAGGCTTGATCACCTGGACAATAAAGTTGGAATATAATTGCAAGAATTGTAGATAAATTCATTTACTTTATACATGTTCATTCTACAGAGGGAATGCAAAAATCTGGTGATTAGTAGCTGTAGTAATTGTGTAGATGGTTATACATTTATCTTTTACATATAACAAACGATGCCAAGATATTTCCTGTAGTATTAAAATGGATAGAGGAGATCCAATTTTAATAAACAGAATTAAAATCTTTTTGAATTAACAAATCTGAGAATGTAAAAGAGATGTATCAGAGAAGTGAAGTTCTCATTAAGAAATGTATAACTGATCTCGCTTTGAATTCGTTTTCAATACAATTTCATTGAATTCATTATCCACAGTCAAGAAATTGAAGTATTTTAACAGTAGTTGATGACCATATTCCTGTCCCTGTCATGGAATCCATGATTATTTCTATAATGGTTCTAGCCAGGGATTATCAAAGAAGTCATCAAAATTTCTTTCGTCAGTGATCTGCTGCTTCAATCGGAGAGGCTGAAATAAATAAAAGTTTATTTATCCATAATATCAAGCTTCAGAAGTGGTAAAATGATTGTTACTGTATATGTTGACTGAAGTATGCAGAACTCATGTATAGTATGTAAAGGATGACTGCACTTAAGGACATGCGAAAATTGCGACAAAATAAACTTTCAAAACAAGCATTTTTCTTTTAATTGCACAAATGGTCAACATCTAATCTACAACTTTATGTAATTAAATTAAATAAAAGTACGTATTTACGAAGTACGAAGCTGTTTTCTAAGGCGGGGGTCATCACAATTCCTTGAATCTCCGTACGATAATGAGGACGCCCACCTTTTCACTGACTTTATACATAGTCAGCGCATGTTTGTCTATTGTTCTCCGTTTAACAGTAGTTGTATATTTGCATTAACAATGTTGTGTCAAAAGGAGATTAATAGACAAACATGCGCTCATGGTTTAAACGAGAAAAAACTGCTTCTTCTTACATCGCTCTCTCTATTGTAACCAAGGGCTGTGACATGTTGAATATTATAATTCACCACGTGATTTCTTACCTCAGGTAACTCTGTGAATATTAAATTCCGTCACGTGACTTGTAAAGTAGCATGTTTTGTGCTAACTAGGACAAAGTGCTCGAACACGTTAAATTGTTAGGCATTGATTTAAAAGATACTTTACTTACATGGACGTCGCTCATATTGTTAATTTCGTTTTTGAAACCTCTGAAAATAGTGTTCTTGTGCCATACAGAATAAAGAGGGAATGAGAAGGAATGGGAAAGAGTGATCTCGTATTTTTTAAATACATGTCATTGTTATTTATCTAGTCTAATTTTAGAGCCATTCTTACAATGTTAGCTCCACCTCTCATGCATACCTAATGTTTAATCAAGGGCAGGTAAGTGTAAATTCTCTACACTTGGAAAGAGTAAGGACAGAAAACATAGAATCATTTTATTGTATAACAGTCTAAGATCATTGTAATATTTAAATTCGGCTCGAAATTGACAGGATTCTTTCATAAATATATGAAAATGAAATAAGAGTTTGATATAAAAGCAACAGAAGCGACCGAAAAAGACCCAAAAACCGGCGTTAAGTGCAGTCATCCTTTATTGTCAGGAAGGCTATAGGCTATCCATACAGTTATTTAATAGAGGTGTAACGATATAGCAATACATCGATCGTATTGATCACAAGGGCTTACGATACGCATATCGTATCGCCATGTATATATATCGTGATACAGTACATTATAATTTTCATTGTTTTGTTTGAAACTTCTAATACAAGCTAACAAATTTTAGTGTTTTAAAATGACTGAAAACAAGGTAGCAAAGAAAAAATACATTGTCAAGACTATAAATCCACCTATAATAAACTTTGGTCAGGGGTATCAAGATATTATTTTTATATTTTCTATAACTGTAGATGTTAGCAATGAATAATGTGTTAAGATAAAAGTCAATTCAATTTTTGACAGCTGTATCATGATACATCTTGTATCACATGACCGCATCGGGATATGTATCATATCGTTAGGTAGCTTGCGATACTCAAGCCTATTATTTAATTACATGTATTTTTTAAGTAAATCTTGGGATTAAGTTTATACCTGAAAAATGAATATTTTGGCTAAATTATGAAATGTTTGGAGATTTTCTGTATTTGATCTCCTGATCATCAGTTTATTCAAGATTGCCTGCAGCAAAATGGTGTAACATCAGGAACACTGCAGCTTAATGTTTACACATCCCATGGTACCCTGTGCCTCCCAGTTATTCATAGTGTGAATTTAAAACTTTTTCTTTTTCAACTATTTAGTTGACCTAAATAAAATGTTAAACAATCAAGATGAATTATAGAACATTGCAAAGAGTAATATATCTTTTAAAAATACTTGTGATCTTTTATCAAATTTGTAAAATTGGGGGTGATTCATTAAAGTATCTATAACAAGAATTATCATTAACATTTCAAGTGTGGAATATGGGCTGTATATAGATTCTATCGTTAAAATGATATTGTCCTACAGATCCGGTGATGGCTTGACCCGAGACACAGTTAGATTATTCTAACTAGGGCTGCATAGTACAGGTAAATACAGATGTTTTTATCTCAAACTCTACGGAACCCAAATTTCAATGTTCGAGATACCAAACTTTAACTCTACTACGTACTAATATATAAGATCCCTATACATGGGTGTGTGTATGAGTGCACAATGTCTTGCATTAATATAAGTATGATTATTAATGAACATACACAGTAAACAAACCTGCAAGTCTGTGCATAAAGTACACATCTATTTGTTGAACACAGATACAAGGCAGATCTCAATGTTATGACTGAAGTTGTTGACATCTTTGAAGGCCATATACATTCCACTTTTAGGTTCAGACAGCAGAGGCTGGACGCCTTCAGATTCTACAAGTTTTATTTTGAAGTTAAATGTCAATCTGACAATGAAGAGTATGTTAGACATAATAATGACTGTGATGTGAGAGACAAAGGTACACGCAGTACGTCCTCTAACGTCAACAAGTGCACACTTTCGTCAGCTGCTCAACATTATTACTGGAATGCTAGTAATTCCCATTTTTTGCTGAATTATTAACTTTAAGTACCTTTCTATCAAATCTGTTTTTCTGCCACGTGTTTTCATTCCTCCTTTTCTCATATCCTCTCTTAAATTGCTTCATTAAATGTAAATAAAGCGATGTCTTGCGAAACAGTAGGCCTACTGTCACGGTTTTGACATTTTCCACTTTGTGTACAAGCGTCTTGGTGAAATCAAGCGTTCACCATATACCCCCTAGCAAAGTAAATTTAGAACCCAAAACGGTGCTCGGCGAACCCTGTTATTCCACGTCACGTGATAACTAAGTAAACATGCTGGTTAACCAGGAAGTTTAAGTAAAATCGAACGCTAAAACTACAGGACGTGTGTACCCTAATAAATGTACACACATCAGGTAAGTGTAAATCCTTATTTTTATTTATTTTTATCTGTGGAAAAAAAAATCCCTGTTACCAGGCATGAAGATATAACTAATTAAGAACAACAATAACACTGTCTTGTAACATGACCCGGCGAGTTTTCCTTTGAAGTCAGTCGTACAACAACTGCGATACAGAACACATTTAGCGGGCGTTTTTTATGCAAATGAGCAGAAACTGTACTGTATCTGCAAAATATCAACGATACAGTAGGGTTTATTTTTAGCGATGACGTATTCTCTTTAGAGAAGTGGACAGGCTTTCGCCTACATCCACTTCTCTTCGCAAATTATGTGTAAGTAACTCTTGAAGTATATGGCATGTCAAACGTTGCAATATTCGATCTTTTGCATTTGCATTGTATAATTTTCCATTTGCATTGTATAATTTTTATTTGTATTGTATAATTTTCTATTTGTATTGTATAATTTTTCATTTGTATTGTATAATTTTTATTTGTATTCTATAATTTTCTTTTTGTATTGTATAATTTTCATTTGTATTGTATAATTTTTATTTGTATTGTATAATTTTCCATTTGCATTGTATAATTTCTTATTTGTATTGTAAAATTTCTTATTTGTATGCGATAATTTTTCATTTGTATTGTATCCGCTGACTGTTTATTTGTTTCGTTACGAAGGATTTCATTGGTCAGGTTTCAGCCTGTATCGGGTTGAAGATGTTCCGGATGCTCAAAGCAAACTGGGCTCATATGTATTTGCTTGATTGATTGATTGATTATTGTTTAACGCCGAGTCGGCAATATTTCAGCCATATTTCGGCGGCATATGTATTTGCGTGCATGTTAGACGGTCATTGGATTCTAAAAAGGGAGCGCTGGTAGATGGCAAATAAATAATCTGTCCTTAGGAATGCTGACTGAGAAAATAAATAAATTGACCTTGAGTGGTGGTACCTACCCCCACCCCCAAAAAACTGAGTTTTCGGGTTTGGGCGGATTTTCTTCTTTTTGTTTTTCTCCTTGTCTCTGGTCATATTGGAAATAAATATTCTCTCCTGCGAGAGAATGAAAATAAATAATCGGATTCGACATCCCCCGAGAATCAAATGGTCGTCCCTTAGCATGCACCGCAAATAGAGGAGCTGAGTTTGTGTTTGTAGAGAGTGCGCGATCGGAATTGTGGGAAGGGTACCAGACTAAGTTTGTGATGGGCACCTGAGACCTTTATACAGACTAAATTTTATGACCAATGACATCCTTCGTAACGAAATAAATAAACAATCCTCGGATACAATACAAATGAAAAATTATCGCATACAAATAAGAAATTATACAATACAAATAAGAAATTATACAATGCAAATGGAAAATATAGAATACAAATGAAAAATTATACAATACAAATGATTTTTTTTACAACACAAATGGAAAATATAGAATATAAATAAACATTATACAATCCAAATGGAAAATTATAAAATCCAAATGGAAAATTATAGAATACAAATAAAAATTATACAATACAAATTGAAAATTATACAATACAAATGAAAAATTATACAATACAAATGAAAAATTATACAATACAAATGAAAAAATTATACAATACAAATGGAAAGTTATACAATACAAATGGAAAAGATCGAATATTGCAACGTTTGACATGCCATAGAAGTATTCAAAAATCTCTAATTCGGATAATAATGGAAACTATTTTTACAAAATAATAATGAAACGAGAGAAATCGTCTACTCTTTTTAAACTAACGAGACAGTATTTCCTCAAGTTTCGTTCAAATTCTTTTGATCTTTGTTTTAAATCTGTTTTCATTTCTCGGGAAAGGTAGAGTTGATATCGTTTAAAAAAAAAAAGAAAATATTTTTTAGTATTGTCAGTGAGGAAGTAATGAAGTATTTTTTTAAGCTCAAATTTACATTTAAATTGTATTAAAATAGTAAAAATAAGTATAGGTAATAATATTAATCTTGAATACTATGCTAAATCAAAAGCGAATTGTCAAAAACTTTTTTGAACATTAAAGTACGTCTTCGCCAATTTTTCCAAATTATCCGACTTAAAATTTTCAATATTTTCTAATAAGCTGTGGTAGATAAACATTAGTATAAATCCGGGATGGAGAACTTGTGAAAATGGATTAACAATACTTAAAGGTCAGTTTTCTTGTGACAGTTGTGTGTATTTATGTTAAACTTGTTAATATAACACGTCTATTACGTACATTCAGACGTATTTTAGACGAAATGTCAGTTGAAGTGTAGACCGTCACCGGTTCGAGATTTACACGTTTTCCAGAATCAAAACATGAAGGCTTGCGAAGAGAAGTGGATGTAAGCGAAAGCCTGTCCACTTCTCTAAAGAGAATAGCGATGACGGAAAACTGAATCCGTATCTTAATTGATATAGATCTAAGAATCCTTCAAATCGCATGTTAGCGCTGTTAGTATTTATTCAAAATTTGAGATGAATTAAGAATTGAATAGAATTTTACAACGTAAAGTTACCAGTGGCGGATTCAAAAAAATTAAAAAGGAGGGAGTGGGGGGCAGTACACAAATGGTTTTCTTCGAAAAAAAAAATGTCAAAACTGGAAAGTCGGGGGTTCGTGGGAGGTAGATTCATAATCAGGCCAGACACTATATGTGCGTGATCGTTTCGTGTTGATAAAGTCAGCAAGAGCTAAATAGAAAGGAAAAAACCTACGCAATCAAATATAAATTAAATTTTGGGAAAACACATTATATAATGCATCTCATAAAAATAATTATTTAAATTGATAGATACCTGCACGTCCACCTCACTCGGCATTTCAGTTGCGATTGCTAAAAATGGGATACTAAATCAACTTTGTGCAAAATCATCTAATTGGTTGAGAGATATATACCCAAATACACATGTAAATTAGCGAGGTCATAAGAAAGGTCATGTCACAAGTCATTTAGAATACTCGTTTCCTACTGTATCGGAGATACAGGGCGGGGTCCTGCTCAAGCTATCGCTCTCGCCTTAAGCCCCGCCCTATATCTCCGATACAGTAGGAAACTCGTACTCTAAATATAACATAAGTACGCTATACATTGACGCTCAACTTCATTTATAATCCAGATATAATACATATAATTCATGGCTATAAATCTCAATACATCTCTATTTTGTGGGGGAAAATATGTACGGAAAATAAATAAAGTGATAAATAGTAAATACATGTAAATAAATAAATAAGTAAGCGATTAATTGAAATAAACTGTTTGTTTTATATCTATTCTGTTACTTTTTTTTTAGAATTCAGTATAAAGAGATTCAATGTCTTTACAAGGTATATAAATCTACTAAATAATGAATTCATACAATTTATCAAATGCAATTAAAAATATCAATCTCTTGATATTTTTCGTTTTTTTTAAAATTATGATTGTCTATTTCGTTACTAGATAATTGTCCATATTGTTATTCACTATGTAAGAGTGTCGACAGTAATAGTACATACATTGTAGTTCTTATCCTCAATTTATCCTTAGAAGTCATCGCTATTATAAAAATTGTCCACTAAAGAGATATTTATACTGTCCATCAACTATAGTCTACTTCATAAAACATTTTGAATTTGATCAAAGTATACAAAGAGGTGTAGACAGCCTAAAAAAGTTAAAAGCTCAAGTAGCGGTGGCTTTATGCCGAATTATTAAAAGTATTCGGAAGAAATCTAGGTCATCTTATTATTTGTTCGTTGAATTACGGCTATGAAGAAGGCTGATTTTCTTCCATAAAAAAAAGGTTTATTTACCTGTATACCAAAAGAAGGAAAAAGTAAATTCCATTTAAGCAATTAGAGACCATTTTCATTGCATAATGTTATTTATAAAATTGGATCAGGATGCAAAACACAAAGATTAAAAGGAGAGTTTTAACCAAAATGTTAATTTCAGATCAAACGGTTCTTATATCAGGGATATATACTGGAGAATGTGTATCTTGTATATGAGTTGATGCACTACACAAAGTAACAAAATATTCCCAGAATTTTACTTATGATAGATTTCTAGAAAACCCTTGACTCTTTGTCATGGCTTTTCATTCCAGATATATTATGTTTTAAATTGTGTTCCATGTTTTTGTAACTAGATTAGATTATAAAAATAATATATATTCAAGTGTGTCGCAGGCAGAAATCTTATCCAACTTTTAAAAGTTTTGGTGGGGCTGTCGATAAGATGACCCGATTTCTCCATATACATTTCTCTCACGTACGAAGATACGGTCAATCAGAATTAGAAATAATGAAAAACTGAAAAATATGAAAAGAATTAAGAAAAAAGACATAGAGTTCTTAATGTCACAATATGCAGATGACACAGTGATCATCTTTGATGGTTAAAAAAAAGAGAGAAAAAAGGCTACAATGCTAGAAATCGAAGGATATTATGCAATGTTGGGACTAAAAATCAATCAATCACAAACCCAAATTGTTTGAATAGGAAGTAAAATATATTTTGACAATTCAGTGGACAACAAACTTCAAACATTCGTTTTAATGTTGACATCAAAGACCATAACAAAAAATATTTAAAATTAAGCTATGGAGATAGTTAACTCCCATTTCAAGAATTACATTAAAAATATCTCTAGATCCAAGCTTAATTATTAAAATTTACTTGATCAAACCTACGGCTGTGTGTTTTAAAGATTAAAACTAATTTATTTTTAGTTTATTGTGGACATCAAATATAGACAAAGTAAAAGAAAAGTTGTACCTCAGAAGTATGCACATTTTTTTTTTTTCAAAAGCAGATCACATCTACGGTCAAGGTTTTATGGTCCAAAATGTTCGTACACAAAGAGAGATCTGGTCACAAAAAATATGCATGTTAATTATAAAAGCACCAACTCCAACCGTTCATAAGTTAAGATCATGGTTAATGTTTGATAAAATTTTGCAAAAGTAGGTCAAACTCCAAGGATAAGGTCGAGAGGTCAACTTTGTTGAAATCAAAAAGAAAAGTCGTGTCACAAGAAATACATCAGTGAAATATTAAAGCCCTCATTCAAACCGTTCAAAAGTTTTGGGAAAGTTAATTTTTTTTTTAAAATGTAGATTATACACAAAGTTCAAGGTCATGAGGCCCAAAATGTTGATTTTCAAAGAAAGGCCTTGTCACAGGAAATACACATGTGATTTATGAAATCCTTATAACCAACAGTTCATACGTTACGGCCAAGGTTAAAGTTTTTCAGAAGTAGGTCAAACTCTAAGGTCAAGTTCAAACTGTCAAAGATGATGGAACCCAAAGAAAAGTCTGGTCAGACATGTAAAATATGAAACCCCTCGCACTAAGTTATGACCAAGGTTAAAGTTTGGTAAAATTTTGCAAAATTAGGAGAAACTCCAAGGTCAAGGTCAAGAAGTAAAAAAAATGTTGTTTCTCAGAGAAATGTCTTGACACAACGCAGTTAGGTTATGGACGCCCATAGGAAATACGCCTTAAAATATTCCGAGAACGTGAATACAGTGTTGATATGTTTTTGAACAGCATGAATCTTGATGAATGGGAATTCCTCTATTTACATATGTATACATCGGGTCTCTGCTGGGTCCGGCCAAAGCGACATCATTCACACCAGCTTATTGTCAAGTGTCAAGTTTAAAGCTAGAAAAAATATGTATGGCTACAAAGATCGTAAAAGTTTAACGATATAGATATCTTTTCTCTATAAAATTGATTGTAGTTTCTTTTAGACAATTCCGTAACATGAAAAGTGTTAAGAGCAACTTCCTCATCCTCGGGAATCATGTAAAATTTAGCCGTCTTTCGATAAATTTCCTACAATGATATAATACGCATTGAAAGAATATTAGAGTACGGAATAAAGGAACAACGCACAACCAGCTCCCTGCGCTTTTCAAAATAAAAGAGATAATAGCTGCGCTTGTTTAAAAACTCACAATTTATAGTGCAGAACTCTTGTGATTTTCTGTCATTCTAGTACGTTACTGCACAAGTGTTACTTACTACGGCTTTTTATAAGGTCTATACATTTTTAATTCAATTGAAGAAATTATTCCCGGGTCTGAGGAATGTTAGGAGAATATACCCCGATAGTGGAGAGATTTCGTTGGCAAATAAAAACCAAGCCCGACGGCGAGGTTTTTTTCGTCAACAAAATGTCTCGACTAAGAGGTATATTATCGAACAATTCCGACAAAAAAGGGAACTATTTCTATTCTGCTACGGCAAATATTTAAACTTCTCTATAGAGAAATGCAGAAGCTAGATTTGAACGTCATCAGAAGTGTCTCATGTCGTCACAATACGTCACAACTCGTTCATTTGTATGTCAAACTTTTGAAAAAGTACAATGTATTCCAAACCCAAGGTCAATTTTTTCCCACCAATTTGCCTCACAATCAAAAGATACCTCTATCCTTTTCTTAGTGAATTCAGTCAAAATTGGAAGAAACCGATTTATACTCATTGAAAATTTGTTGATGAAGTCTGTGGTTTATTGGAGAATAATGACCGCAGCATCTTTTTGATCTTTGTGATAACTGTAATAGAATGATTTATAGATCTACATTGAATAATGTCTCCATTTTGGTCAGATCAGACTTGTTTCGTTTTAATTTTCATATTAACAAGATACGATTAAGCCACGCCTTAAGTACAGAGAAACTGCGTGTCAAACTAGTCAGAGATGCCTCTCAGTCATTACATCGAAATCAGGCTTGCTTTCATTCTACATTCGGAAATTTTATAATGCAAGATGATGTGCATATCGATTGATATTTATATTATTTATGAGAAAAAAAGTATTTAAGGGTGTATGAAAGAAAAACATTAGAACTTATTCATCGAGATTCATTTGCATTGTTTTAACGTGACGTCTTAATTGTTTTCCCGAACCCCTGCATATACTGATATAAGTATAAGAGTCTAAACCTAGCTGCGAATGAATACTCATGTGAAATATGAAAGCCTTAACAGCGAACCAATCAAAAATTATGGGCAAGGATAAAGTATTGCGGACAAACAGGTTAACAGACAAACAGCGAGACAGACAAACAGTGAGGCAGACAGACGGACAGACCAAAAACTATGTCCCTAAATCTTCGATTATGGGGGCATAAAAATAAAAGGTAACATAGCATATACACATTCTTAGATCATGTCGACGGATTTTTCCGTTATTACCCGATCATGACAAGGAGCACACGGCGAATGTGACCGCCCCACAGGTTATGCTTACTTCTGCATGGCACCTGATCCCACCTCTGAAGCTTTTAGAGGTCCATGTTTGCTCTGCTCCCAATTTGTATTGAGCTTGATTACTTTTCATTATCTCCATATTTCAGGTAGATTCATGTATGCCAATTTTTATAGTCTTGGGATTTTAAGAAAGTCTTCTCCATTCCAAAAGAATTAATCAGGATTTTTTGGAAGTTAAATAAACTTTTTTGGACATATTTCTTTCAAAGTAAAAGTAGAGACAAGAGCCTTTGGGTCAAAGTAGGGGGAGGAGGGTTCAGTAAAAAAAACCCTGCAAAGTTGCTTTCAGTACCTGTTTTAGATTTCCTTATATGTTTAATTCATATCACTGCTTTAAAAAATCAAGATAAACATTATTAAACATTAAATATTTAAAAAGTGTCGCTGAATACTCATCACTTGAGTGTGGGACAAGGGACAAGAGGTGATTTCGACACTATAGGCAACCCCCAGTAATTAAATCTGGCAAAAAAAAAGTACATATACTTCCTTCTATAAATAAAGACAATATATCAAAAACAGAAAAAAATGAAAATGAAATTTTCAAATAATGCAATAAAAGCGCGGCTATGTTAAGGCTGTCCGAAGGTTTTGTATGCGTTAGAAATACGCTATTATATTTTGAGCTCGATTTTTATTTTAATCTGTGATCTATGTATACATGTGCAGTTTATTTGTGAAGAGAGTTTAATAAGGTATTGTAAAAAAAGCAAATGTGTGATGTCACATGACAGTGTTGATCACGTAACGGACACTTATAAATTTTCCTAATTGTTGCACAAAAATCCCATCGGCACAAGTGAAAAACAAAATAATTGAGGACAGTTTGTTACATAAGTCAATTGAATGTATTCTTGGGTCTATATAAAGTGTTGGGGCAAGTCTGAGTTTTACATCTTAAGAAAATATTCCATGAGAAATTTAACTTACCCACATACAAGGGGTCATTTTCCACTCTTCATCGCAATTTATAAAAATAGGATAAGTTATATACGATCCCCGAGCAATATTCAGTTAGAAGACGCGCTTCTCTAGTAGATTCACATAGAACATCTTCATTTTGTCTTTATTAGTCACTTGTGCCAGTCTATATGCATGATTTATGAATTCTAACTCTGTCTACGGACTTGTAAAGGGGGGGGGGGGTCATATTCATTTTTTTTTTGTTATTGTATGAATACGTACATAATTAGAAAGAGAAAGGAATAAATATTGTATTGCATATAACCACCATCATAACAGCACATAGAAACTTTAAACAACAATTCAGACACCTGATTTAAACATCAACGTCGAAATCAAATCTACATGCCATGGGAAGGAGTGTAAAAGTTATGAAACTTTCCCCGTCATGACTGCTCAAGTTTGCAGTGACTTGACGTCATATTCTATTATGACGTCATATCTTGGTAGTTCAGAGAAGTAACAACGGCTGATACACTGTGATATTTATCGGACAACCTTATCCTAGCTGCGAGGAGTCGAAACAATTTCTTAAAACGGTCCACATATGAAATGAACATTGCGTTGGTGGATATAGATATATCTTCAGTTTTCTGAATCCATTCAAAATCAGAGACATCCATCTTTATTACGGGTAGTACATGTATTTGACACTTGACATTTATCATATTCAGTAATTTTAAGGCATAAGGTTCGTTTACTGATACTGTTTTGGACTGGAAATTTCAAGATTATATTCCTGTAAAATCTGGGCAGTATCCCATTAAGATTTTAGTGTTTTTAAACACTAATTTATATACCAATATGATTATCAAATATGAATTGAAAGCATAACCAAACATATTTGGTAAATTGATATCCACATAGACCGACTTTCTTAGTGACATAGGCGTACCATAAAATGGCGTATAAAGTCCCTCAACGGAGGCATATAAAATGCTTCAATAAAATGCTATGACCTGAAATAAAGTATTGCTTTCAACAAAATCATGTTTGTTTTCAGATTTTAAAAAAAAAAAAAATTATTATTAAATATTCAATAAATGTTTACATGCTATAAGTTCAAAACTAAGCCTTAATTGATAACAAACTTTAACTTAGACATAAATCGATACATATATGTATTATGTTGAACTTTGCATTTGAAATCTTCAAGCATACGGCTTACAAAGTCGTTTGTTTTGTTACTTTTACAAATATTTGTTAAGGAAAACAAGAAGTGAAGAATTTGATGTTTTTCCCTATATGTCTACTTCTTTTATATCATAACATTGATTGTATACGTTAGTTTCATATGTATGCATACATACACATTTACATTTATCAATTCAGATTATTTGCAATCATGGATCCCCGTACAAGCGGCCAGGACTTGATGCGATGTGGTTTGTGTACTACGGCTGTGGTACAGATGCACTGTGATACATGCATTACCAGCCTTTGTGTGGATTGCGTAGGAAAACACATGATATCTGATGAATCCAGGGACCACAAGGTCGTCAAATTTCAGTCAAGAAGATCTACTCTACTCTACCCTCGATGTACATCCCATGACAAAGAACAGTGTGAAATGTACTGTAATCAATGTGAAATTCCAATCTGTACTGCATGCATTGCATCTGAAGCTCATACAGGTCATAAAATTCATCAAATACTCACAGTTTATAATGGCAAGATAAAAGAAATTGAAACAGAAAAGGAAGAATTGAAAGAAAAAATTTACCCATCCTATCTGAACATTGCTGCTGATGTACAAAGCAGAATAAGTCAATTAGAGAAAGAATATGGGGATCTCGCTTCAGCCATTACAAGACATGGAGAGTATATCAAAAAAGAAATTGAAAAACTTGTCGAGAAACTTAAAGGTGATGTGAGTGTTATGAAGGATACACACTATGATTCACTTAAGAAATACATGACTGAAATAAATCCGAGAATCTCTGAAATTGATGAGACAATTAAAGCATATTCCAAACTACTGCAATCAAATGACATACTTCAGGTTTTTCAGTTTAAAATTAAATCAAGCGAATTCAAGAAAATTCCATGCAAAATGGATGCGTTGCCACCATGTTTTACTCCAGTGTTCTGCAAGGCAGAGCAACTGATTAATCTTTTCGGAGAAATTACAACTCTATCTAGTATTTCATCGGAACATCCTTACAGCACACATATATCAGAGAAATCACTAGAAGCCGGATACATTCCTCCAGTCAAACAGCTGCTAGATGAACCAGAGACAGTCGATACTATAAACATAGACAATGGGTATAGACTACTTTTAACCATGAAATCTTGGTATTAGTCTTACTCGTCCAATGTGGCCTGTTTGAGTGATAATAAAATCTGGACTAGTGGAAATGGCAACACCGTGAATCTCTTCTGTATAAGTCAGGGATTGGTAGTCAAGTCCGTCAAAACCAGATCAGGAAAAACGCCCAATGACATAGCAGTGACAGACAGTGGAGATCTAGTTTATACTGACAGCAGTGATAAAACTGTAAACATTGTGAAGAATGAGAAGATAGAGGAGGTGATAAAATTTCAGAACTGGATACCGTATGGTGTCTGTATCACAGCCTCTAGTGACCTGCTGGTAACCTTGAGCAACAATGATAAAAAAGAAACAAAAGTTGTCCGTTACTCTGACTCCCAAGAACAACAAACCATTCAGTTTGATGATAAAGATAAACCTCTCTTTTCATATGGAACGTATTACATATACATTACTGAGAACAAGAATCAAGATATATGTGTGGCTGACAGTGGAGCAAAAGCTTTAGTGGTTGTCAATCAGGCCGGGAAACTGAGATTCAGGTAAGAAGGACATACAAAGAAGCCACCATTCAATCCACGAGGAATCACAACAGACAGTCAGAGTAACATCCTTACAGCTGATTATAGCAATCAGTGTGTCCACGTCATAAACAAGGATGGACAGTTTCTCAAAAATATCCAGTATGGACTGAGTTATCCCTTTGGACTGTGCATAGATTCGAATGACAATCTGTTTGTTGCTCAATATAGACAAGTGAAGAAAATCAAGTATCTGCAGTGAAATTCAACTAATATTGAAAACATAGTAAAACATAGGTAAATTCGATTTCGCAACTGAAAATGTATTCTAAATGTATAGTTTTTCGAAATGTATATTTCGGAAGAATGGGAATTTTGATATCTTCAATATGCTGATTTCGGCCAAAGCGACTTGATTTAAGGATATCCTGATAACTGATAATGGTTTCTTCGATGCTTTTTCTTAACAGGAAAAGTGCTACTATACTCGAAGAATATGAAATTTAGTCGTCGTTCTATAAACTACTGTCAAAGACTTAATTCCCATAGAAATGTTTAATTATAGAATAAACAAAGGCGCAGTATCAGTCCCCAGTGCCTTTCAAAATAGAAGGGATAATAGCTACATGTGTCTGAAACTTCTTATTTCTAATACAGCGGATATCGCTAAGATTTTGGCATTTTCGGGGAACAACTGTGCCTGTCATTCTAGTACGTTAGGGTGCAAGTTTGTCATCCACAACTTTAAAATAGGTGTATACATTACTGATAATTTAAAAGTCTAATGTTGCTGTAGAGAATATTTAAGCCTAAATATTGTAGTTTTTTTTTATTTTGAATGTTATATTTTTCTTTGTAAAGCTTTCATACCCAAAAATATAATGAGCAACCATAATCCCAAGGATAATCTTTTGAACAAACTTAAATCTGCATTACATTGATATGTTTGCATGTCAATATGACTGAATATGAAACTTTTGACCCACCCTAACCTTGCAGACTGTCAACCCAAGAAACTACAGTACCCATTACATGGGAATAATTTTTAGGTCAGACGAGTAGCTCAGGTGACCTGTTGTTATCCGGTTGTTGGTCGTCGTGAATCACGTGTCAGACGTCAACATTGATCATTTTCAGCTTCTTGTCTGGGAGCGCTGATCCAATTTCAACCGATTTTGGTATATAGCATCTATGTAAAGGAGAAAGGCCGAAAACTGTCCATTCTGTGAGAGAAAGAACTAATCGAGGGCCGTAGGCCCGAGATTAGTTCTTTCTCTCACAGAATGGACAGTTTGAGGCCTTTCTCCTACTTAAAATATGATTTCCTTTGTTCAGAAAATTAAATAAAAAATGTACAAAATGACAGCAAACATACACTGACAAGTTCATTGTTTACGGAATGGACAGTCCCAGGTAAGCTAGGGATGCAGAGCAATTTGTTGAATAGCCATTGTGTTTTCAGATGCAAATAACAAAAGGTCTTTGTCTTAAGAATGGACAGATACAGGTGGATTTTGGGGGATACCAGTATTTATACAAGTATGCGATGCTTCAAAATCAGTTTACAGTTTGCGTTGTAAAGGCATACATGTTTTCCTGTGATGGAGAGAGTATATGACAGAATCAAAATCTAATAAACCAAAAATATGCACAAAATATATTTGGATCTGGAAACAGAAAAGTAAGAAAAAAAGAAATGTTACCCAAATTTTGGCCGCCCAGAAATGAAATTCGACGACAGATACAGATGATCAAATTCGAATCAAACTTCGAAATGTTTTATTTGAATTCTATTCTTGAGGATATATTAACTGCAGCAGTGTAATGGTGAGATGCAAATTGTGTTCTGAGTGTTGGATTAACCATGAGCCAATTTTCGACCTGAAATGTTTTTCAAATCAAATCTGGAAATGTTTCATTTTTATTTATTTTCTACTGAAATATTAACTGCAGCAGTTTTCTGGGTGGAGGATTTAATATTAGACGTACTTCTTTCTGAAAATGAATTCTCGAGGGAATGATTTTTACGAAATTTTAATCAAATGTGAGATTGTGTCATTTGAATTCAAGTTTTGAGAAAATTAAATTTTGAGTATTGAAATAATGTGCATTATTCATGGATTTCAAAGAGTAAAATCGAGTGGATGCTGTGCAGACATTGTGTTGTGGATTAACTTTGATCTCCGCGTTCTTTTTGTTATTTACATGTAAATCAAAAAGTATTTAATGTATTTGTTTTTGTTTCCCTCTTGAACACATTCCAAAGTTTACTTGTAACTCTCCATTCTGTTTGTTTTAACTGTCCATTCTTTTTGAAAAAACTGTCCATTCTTAAAAGAATGGACAGTTTTCCAAAAAGAATGGACTCTTACAGGTAACTTAATGGATTGTTTGAGGAGTTAGCTCAACATTAAGCTATAGAATGGACAACACAAACAAAAGGTTTACGTCACAATCATGTTTTAATTGTAAAGGAACAAAATTTGTGAATTTTATGGTCCCTGCCCCCCCCCCCCCCTTGGACCTAGTCAGTGGGGATAAAACCATCAGAGTAGTACAATCTTTTAAAAAACTCCTTCCATACTCCTGGAGATCAAGCTATCAAACTGTTGGCAATGTAATGAGCATTGAGCCCTCTACACAAACCGTGAAATTCAAAGCCCCAGAGTTAGGGGTCCTAGAGTTAGGGTGGGGCTCAATGTTTTGTACAGTGACAATGCATAAAGTCTTTAAAAAGCTTTAAATATTCCTTGTACATGTTTATTTAGCAGACAAACTAAGCTCACGGTTATGATAAATTAGGGTGACTCTTCCAGAATTATGGAATTTATGGCCACTGTTTTCAAGTTCTGGTGTTAAGGTGGGACCCTATTGATTATGTAGAAAGTCGCATTAATTCAATGAAAATATTCGTCTCTACTCTTGTATAATAAGAAAAAATAAGTGCATGGTTTTGATTATCAAGAGTGCATCTTCCAAAAATGTAAAATTCAAGGCCCTGGAGTCATGAGTTCTGGTGTCAGGAAGGGCTCTATTACATCACTTCTTTGGAAACCTTTTCTACTCCTTGGTATTTATTAAACAAACTAGGTGCATGATTATGTTGAGCAAGGGTGCCTCTTCCAAATGTGTGAAATTCATGGCCCAAGGTCAGGATGGATTTTAGGTGTTAGGACGGGGTTCTCTTGATTATATATTGAAAATGCAATGATTCTTTTGAATTTTCTTTTCTGCTCCTAGATATTTAACAACCAAACTAAGTGCATGGTCATGATGAGCAAGGATACCTCTCCCAAACTTGTAAAATTCTTTGCCTCTGGGTCATGAGTTCTGGTGTTAGGATGGGGATTTATTGATCATACAATGGTATAGTGAACGTACATGAATTTTTTGAACATCTTCTTCTCCGTACCCTGGGTTTTAAGCAAGAAAATTAATTGCATGGTTAGGATGAACGAAGATGCTTCTTCCAAAATTGTGAATTTCATGGTCCTTGTGTAATGGGTTCTCTCTTCACCAACATATAAAAATCTCAGCTCAAATCTCAGCCTCAAATCTTAGATTTCTGCCTCAGTTGAGATTTTTACCATAAGGCTGTACACTAACATTTCTGAGATTCGTCTCACGTAAGCTGAGACTTGAAAAAAATCTTAAAGATTTATTGTCATTGTTTATTGCAACCTTTGTTTTCTAATAATGCACGAATTAGTTGAATGATTGATTGAATTTACCTTCTAGTCATTTGTTTATGCAATATTTTGGTGAATAATCCATAATATAGATACAGTTGTGTTTAAAATATATGTGTTTGTGAATCACTGCAAGTATACAATAACAGTAAAACTAATGTTCAACTTAGATACAATTAGTAGAGATATTTTATCATATTTATGTGCTCATGAAACAAATGAGAAACGAATAGATTGTTCTCAGTGTCAATGTTCACATTCAAAGGCTTTGTAATCCTTTCGTACACTGGGTATCTAAGATAATCGTCGTTCTCAGACACACAAACGTCCCGTTTCCATTTATTGAACTTTTATCGGGTTCTATAAACATCTGCTTCCTTTCTCGTTTTTTAAATTTATAAAAGTATTTTGCCTCAAGTTGTGTACTTTTCAACTTTGGACGTGTTGAAGACAAATATGCTACTATATATATATTAACTTTCCCTTAATTGTTAGAATCGCCTTGACTGTTGAATTCTTTGAAATCCATTAAAATTTGTATACAATATACAATATTCATGGGGAGTCAAATACCTTCACATATGCTCCGGTGAAAACGAGACGACTAAAATTTCGTTTGTGCGAATAAGTTTAATCTCGAACGTTTCAATTGAACTGAGTAACGAAGATCAGAATATTCCAGTAATATCTAAATGCAGTACGAGGGTTGTCCATAATATTAGTGGACAATGATGTTTCTGAATGGTTCTAGATATACTTACTTTATACCAAAATATTTTTTAAGAAAATCCAAGTCAGACTAGTTTGGTTTTTATTGTTTTGTTTGAACTTAATATTTTTTGTAAAAAATGCACCTTTAAGGATCGCAGATAGTGCGCACGGCCCAGGGTTAAAATGCCATAAGCTTTGAAATAAAGCGTTCTGATTAAAATGATTTTTTTTTTTAAATAAAACAAGTCAAAGGTTAATAAAAGTTTAATGTGTCGCAAATAAAGCAACTATTGTCATTTTCTGATATCTTTAGTGCCAGTTACTATACAGACAGTGAAAATATTAAGCAAAAACCGCAAGAAATATGTTTCAAAAACCGACAGAAAACGTTGCGTCAGCCATACGAACGGAACGTCCTCTGATCATAAAATTATGTTTTAATATGGTTTAGACGACGTCAGAGACAAAATATTGATTCAAACAACTTGAAATTATTGGAATATATTAAGTTTATTGATTTGAAATTGGTATGCATGTAAACGATTTTTCATCGGGGTGTACAATTTCGGAGACACTACAAGAAGTGGAAAAAGGGTTATTCCTGTTTATGATTTGTTATAAACTAGCGCAATGTCGGACTGGGCTGTGCAGCCTATGTATGCGAAGCGTTTATATTGATGACGTTCGTAAATTATCGTGTCTTGTTTTTAATTAAATCAGTTGTGGTCTTTACATTAATATTGTTGAACACACTTGGCAATGTAGTATAATAAAATGTAGTACGTGTTCATCAAAATGTGATAAAAAATATTTGACGTTATCATGGAATCAGCTTTACGTCAGACTTGGCCGTGTGGCTTGC